TTGGGGCGTCTCTGCTGGAACTGCTACCTCCGCGACCCGAACACGGATAAGCGGGAGAAGATGGATGGATGGATGGATGGATGGACTATACAAATCCTACACATCTAATATATATCGTTTCTGTATTTGTATACATTGTTCGCTATTTTAACAGTTTTCAGAATTTAGCTTTTTATAAAGTTATTAAATGGTATTCTTTCATCTTATGTAGAGCACTTTGAACTATTTCTGTATTTGAAAGTTGCTATAGAAATACAACGTCCTGCCTTTCCTTAAAAAAAAAAAACGAATTTCTTTCTTTCTGTTTCCTCTGCAGCCTTACCCAACAGAAGATGGAGAGGACAGGTGAGTTCACTGGGGCCTTGATTTCACACTTCTCACAAATACTTTAAAGTACTTTTGAACCGAGTCAACCTTTGGCACATTCCCAGTAAAAGGCATACAGGGATGTTGCTTCTAGGAAAGGCCTATGGGGCTTTGTGTAGCCTGTTAGCTGGTTGTGAAACACGTTAAACAGTGATTTGTGTGTTTGTGTGTGTCTGCAGCTCGGGCATGAAGAGATTACCCTTCAGTGACGAAGAGTTCGGTTCACCCCCAAATAAGATGGCGAGAGGAGAGGAACCAAAGAAAGGTAACGTGTGTACGTGTGTACGTGTGTACGTGTGTACGTGTGTACGTGTGTACGTGTGTACGTGTGTGCGTGCATGCGTGCGTGTGTGTGTGTGTAATATGAGTTTTCACATGCTGATCAGGTGAGTTATGGTCTTCCCAATGTGTGTGTGCATTTTAGCATGTCTTCTGTTGAGTGTTTGACACACACATACCATGTATACATCACTTCAGGGGACATTACATTGAATTACATGCATTTACTGGAGACTTACCCTAAACCTAAGCAAGTCTTCACCCTAAAATTAATGTTTCCCCCATGGGGACCTCCATTTTGTCCCCATAAGGGAGGCGAGTCCCCACACGTGACTGTGTAAACAGATTTAGGTCCCCACAAGTATAGTAATGCTAGGCCACACACACACACACACACACACACACTCTTGGGGCCATGTGATTATTCCAGCTCTTCGAAAACACTCACACACGTGTCTACGGCCTGCACTGACCTAACAAATACCACTGATAGCTACGTGCACACACACACACATGCAAACAAGTCTATGCCCTTTCCCCTATATCCTATTCATAGACATAAAGCAAGCTTAGAAGAAAAACATGGAGTGTAGACAAAATGGGTATTAATTCAAAATCATTTTTATTGACTCTGCATAATACATGCATACAGTCAATAGCTTCCAAAAGCCAGATAGGGCTGCAGGAGTTTAGGCTGTAAACTATCTACAGAGAACTAATAACACTGATCAGACCACAGTGAGGTGTCAGGGGTCAACAGATGTCCCTGTTGCACAAAATAATATACATTTATTTAGGGTCTTCCACCTAAAGATATTATATTGTGAACTACTGCATACTTTAATCTCATTCAGCATTGAAAAGCCCTTCAAATTAACAATCCCAGGCCCACTTCCTCCTGTATTTCTTTCTCAACCAGGTTATTCCTGTTGAAAGAAGACCTTGCCAAGAGTAGTAGGAGTTTAGTAGGAGTTTTTGCCAAGAATACCAAAGACTGAGGTGGCGCCGCACTATACAAACATTAACCTGTAAAGAAGAGCCACAAATAGACATGACTTCCGAAGCTTAACTGCATACATTTAAAATTAAGCATTATTCTGCAAAAAAAAAGCGACATTCATTGAGTTTTAATCAAACTTAATTCAGTTTAGATTTGGGGGAAATCTTTCCCCATAAGCTTGCATGTTTCCATGTTAGAAATGTTGCAGTAGTGTGATGGTTTGAATGGGATCCTGCCGATGTTAATACAGTGAAGGAGATACTGCCAATCTGCCAGTGTGCCAACAGCCTCCATGACGTCCATCTCAAACAAAGTTATTAATGGCGGCTCCAGAACACTGTGAACTCTGGCCTAAATACTTTAGCATTACGAAAACCCCCCTTATATAGTCACTTACAAATAATACTGTTTCACTTCCTTATAATTGGGTTTAGCTTCTCAAACTTCTGAAATCTCCTGTGCATAGTTAGGTCTTTAAATATGTGTCGCATTTAGAGACCACACATATCGCAACAGCTTGCAAAACAATACAAGAAAATCTATTTAGAGCATGATCTATTTTGAGCAAGAATTAAAGGTGGGTCCATGTTTGAATGTGCTTTCTAGGTGTGAATTGCGTGGGTCCAGGGCCAGTTTAGTTCTCAATGAGTGTCTCAAAAAGTCACGTAGTAGTGGTATAAGTTAATATTATTTATTTTATTTTATTTAACCTTTATTTAACCAGATAAAAGCATTGAGATAGAACCTCATTTGCAATGCTGACCTGGCCAAGAAGGCAGCAACGTTACACATAACACAAACAATATGGCCAGCAACATTGCAGAACATGTTTAAATGTAAAAATGCATTAAACATAAGTATACATGTGCTTGAGCTTTACTTCTTCGAAAATTGAGAAAGGGAAACGCTTTAGCCACAAATCAGTCAAACAGTTCAGACAAGCTTCAAAACTTTTGGCTGATGCCAGAATTGGGGCATGTTTTGTGTCCAACCCATGAACAAATGTGCTCTGTTTTGATGCCTTCTTGTCTCTTCTTTCTCTTTTCACCACACAGTCCTGCTGTACGTGCGCAGGGAAACAGAGGAGGTGTTTGATGCTCTCATGCTGAAGAATCCCACGCTGAAAGGCCTGGTGGAAGCTGTAAGTTGTCCTCAGTTGACTTCATGTTTTTGTTTTATACCGAGACCCAGTTCTCAGTGTGTCTAAAAGCAGTACAACCCACAAACACCTACAAACATCTGGCTTGTATCTTCAACTGGAAAGTTTACAATCTGCATTCATTCCCGGGACAAACGACCGCAGTAGACATGGGTGTTTATCTGCTAAAAATCCACATGGATTTGGACAATTATTTGAATGTATTAACCTAAATAAAAATCAACTATCCTCTCCCTAAAGTCACCAGAATCTATTGACAGAATGAATAATGTAATGTTGGAGAGTTTGAACAAGAGACTGAGTATTAATAGATACAAAAACCAGAAGTAGCATAACCACCGTTGATTACTAACCTTTTAAGCTTTCTGGCATGACATCAAACCTGACACACCAAGGAAAATAACAGAAAGGCATGTTAGTCTAGTATTTGGAAAAGGAGTCGCCTATTTTTTCCAGGATTTAAAAAAAACCCTGAATAAACATGCACATTTTGGAAAAAAGTGTATATATACAGTAGGCAACTGTGGCCTGTTAAATAAGCTGCAGGACACCAATTAGAAACAACGTAGGGTAGACTGAGTACAAAAGGTGAACTGGGGACATTGAGAAATAGAGAGAAAGGGTGTGTGTGGGTTAAAAAGGGATACAGGGAACCAAGGTAGGGGAGTTATGGGGACAAAAGCTGGGGAAAAGAGGAAGTGGGGACGTCCTGGGGAGAGGGAAGAAGAGGAGATTGTGGAAAAAGGGTGTTTTTAAAAATGCAAATAGAAATAGAAGAATAGAAAGAGGCTGGTGGGAGACTACTTTAGGGTGCAAAGGTTGTGTATAGTGATTATAGAGAACCATGCACAGGTGCACCAGGTGTCTGTAGAGGATTACACCATTTTATATTTTCTTTCTTTAAGGTTCTCTTAATAATTTAACATTGATTTGTGTTTCTTTTTTAACCAGATTTCAGAGAAGTATGAATTACCTTTGGATAAGGTTGGGAAAGTCTACAAGAAGTGCAAGAAAGGGTGAGTCATCAATACTGTACGACACTGTCTGTGAGCAACCAAACCCAAATAGTTGATTCTTTTGATTTACATCTTAATTGCTTTATTTATTCTTCTTGTATTATTATTCACCTTATTTTGATTTTTTGTATTATTATTTGTATAGCACTTTCATTTAAAAACAGCAAAAATATTGATTTAAATAAAACATTCTGGTAAAGATAAAGTGTTCAGTGTTGCAGAGCAAGCAAGACATTTAAAAGACCTACTAATTAAAATACATAAGGCATAAGAGATCATAAATGAACCTGATTGTACACTTTAGTTATCTTTAAATGAAACAAAGAGGCCACTAACATCCATATCTGTTTTGATAATAGGATCCTAGTGCACATGGATGACAACATCATCCAACACTACTCCAACGAAGACACCTTCCAGATCACCATGGAGGAGATGGGCGAAATGTACAAACTCACCCTCACTGAGATCTGATTGGACGATGCCAGCAATAGAGGACCAATGAAATGGAGCTGTCAGAAGAAGTGGTTTACACATCTTGCTACGCAGTGATTATGGACTTGATCTGACACTTAAATCATGTTGTCTTTGTGCTGCATTAATGTTAAAAGTCAGGTATTTAAAAAAAAACACAGCTCTTCATGGATCGCAATGTTGATTAGGTGTGTAAGTTATACATTTTTGATTGATTTTAAAAACCTTTCTCTGTGTATACGACTCAACAAGTGAGTCCAGGTTTTATTGTATACACATTTATCTTGTATTCAGTAAGTTGCACCTCACAGATTTGTGCCTAATTTTGTAAATGTTTGTGCAGAGCATTTGTGTGTGGCTGCTATACCTCATGCTATGCAAGCAGCAGTGTTTCTTTTTATGAAGAGAAACGACTCGTCTTTCCCTTCCTAAAGCCATAGCACTGATGATTACAATCCGTAAAGTTGGGTATTTTGCGCACAAAATGAAGACGGCAAATTGTTGATAGAGCCCCAGTGGTTCAGTGTATTAATACTAAACAACATGGCAGTATTCGTTGTGTAAAACTCTCTTCAACCGTCATGCAATTAGGGTAGAATATTGTAAATGATTGTGATTATTTTTTTAGTGTAGGAGACATGTTTGTGAATGAAATTACTTAAAAGATGATTTTTCATCAGGTCGATATAAAAATGGCCCTCTATGTGAGTATTAAATAGTCATTAAATACATGAATAACAATGCTAAAAAGCATCCCTGTAGAGTAGGTTTCTGAATGTTGATGAAATAGGTCAATCAATGTGTAGTGCAGTCAGGCTGTTCTGGAAGTGCAATATGATATTAAGGGTCAGACACATTCGCAAAGAGAATCTCCTCTATTGTCAAAAAGAAATTCATATTATCTGGTTTAAAAAAAAGGAAATATTTTTGTATATAGCCACTGAAAAAACTGATCGATATGGTCTCTCCTTTTGTATCTCAGTACTTATTGTGTATATATTTATTATTAAGAGAATGGATGTGGGTCCTTGTTTTTTTTTATATCCAAATTTCTATTATACCTATTAATATAATGTTTATTTGCTTTTTATATGAAGTTATATTAACATTACATGTCAAGGGACAAAAAGTTATTAAGATGTTTTTAATTGTTGTTGTTTTTTGTAAAGGATTTGAAGCACAAACCGCCCAATAAAGGCTCTCCAGTAGCTTCTGTCTGTCGAGACTCTGTTTCTTTCTTTTGATCGTTTGACATGTTTTCTACCTTTTCAAACGCATATTAAACAGCCTATCTTACAACAGACTTGCAATATGTAAGTGGTTCAGGAAATAGTAGGTCTGTCTGTGGTTGATGTGTTGAGCTGCAGCAGTTATGAACTGTGCCTTTGCTGGTGCTTTCTGTGTCTGTCCACAGGAACAGATGTCTGGGCATCAAACCTAACCCCGTTCACAGGAAACAGGCATGACAGGACGGCCTGCTGCAGAGAAGCTGCTCTGTCGGAAACCAGGCCATTGATTGCTGCATTCACCCTTTGGTTAAAGTAGCCTATTATTTGATTTAAGCCACTCTAGTGATGCGGCTCTAAACAATGTAATGTTAATCAGCCGGTCCATGCCTTTGGTCTCGAAATATCTGAAGCTTTAAGATAGATTGCCATGATGTCTTGATGCAGACATTCATGTTCCCCCAAGGATGAATCCTGACAGGTCTTGTGGTCCACTGACTTTTATACAAGCCCCACTGTGAGGTTGACCCAGCTGTTGGTGACAACAGTGAAACCTCATAGAGCCACAAGTCTAAAATTATGAGATAACATTAGAGTAAATTACCTCCTAAAAGGTTATCCTAGATATGTTTCTATATGTTCGAAGGATATTCTATTTGTTTTGCAGCAGAGCAGCAAAGATAATAGCCAAGGATAAAAACAATTTGTTATGACCCATATAAGATGTTGAACTCATGATTGCACATGACACACTGTACAGGTTCAGGTGTACAGAAACAGAAAGCGGTTCTCTTCCTGTTTGAGTCAGTATATTCCAGTGTGCCTTTGTATGATTCATACCTTTTTTATTATTTATAGAACCACACTTTCGAAGTCCCTCCTGCTGTGAAGTTATTCAATCACCAAATGTGCACCGGAAATAACAGTAACATTTGTTTTTATTGTCCTTGCCTAAAATAGTATCGCTGATCATTTCCATATAGCACTGATAGGCCTAGATAAACAGTAAACAATGCCACTTTCCTTTTCCTTAAGGACACTTGCAGAACTCTGATAGGCTTGTATGAATGTTAAATTAATGCATTTTCTCCCTGAATTCATCCAAAGGTCATGTGCTAATCTGCTTTAGGCATATTGAATTGAGAAAATGTTTGTCTTGTCTTGTCTATTATTCAATCTCTTGCCTCTCATTAGATATATTTGCTGCAACACATCGAAAAATGAAACTAACCCATTAATACTCTTTTTCTATTTTAATTCACCAAAATGTACAGTAGAGGCCAAGCTGAAATCTCACAGTTTTTCATTACTTTTTTTTAACTAAGAACATGACATTCATAAGATCCATATTGCAGGCTACTTATTTATATGAATGTTTAGATGGTCTCTCTTTGCATGTTCCCTCATTCAAAACCCCAACATACACTGAAATACTGTTGGGTAAATGACACACATACATTTTGGCAGAATAATGAGCAGAGCCCGTTAACTTTGTAACATAAAAAAAAGTGTATTGCTCGTCTGCTGAAAAAAAGCAGACAAATGGACATACACACACTTACCGCAAATCTGAACGGGTGAACTGCTGAGTTTATCATAATTCCGGTGCACGGGTCCGCAGCAGTGGCGTTGCGCAATATTTCGGGGCTCCCCCGCAGGTCGGACAATGGGGCCCCGCCCCCTCCCCTAAATCAATAATAAAGTGACATGGGATAGACATCGCGGCAACTTTTTTAAATGTTTATTTTTTCAGGTATCTTTTGTAAACAGTATAGGTCAGTAGGAACTTTCTGTATAAAGATACATCTGATTTAAACAGTATAGGGTCAGTAGGAACTTTCTGTATAAAGATACATCCTGATTTAAACAGTAGGGTCAGTAGGAACTTTCTGTATAATATACATCTGATTTAAACAGTATAGGGTCAGTAGGAACTGTATAATAATATACATCTGATTTAAACATCATTGACAAATACAAACAAGTGGCTGTGTATTTTTTGTAACATGAAGGTATATTGTAGAACGTTATAGCCTATCATCATTGGAGTTCACACAACGGAACGGTTCACATATATATAACATTCTGTATAAAAGAAAAGTAGCCTACAAAAAACAAACAAATAAAACACATCCTATAGGCTACATAGAGGATGCAATCAGGAGCTGCTTTGTAGGCCTATTATTTTATACGAGCGCGTCTCCTGGCATTCTTCTGCGCAAAGTCCTGTATAACAGTCTTTAAATCTATACTGCGCGCGCGTCGGCTCTCAATCCTAAGGACTGCTAACCCAGACAGTCTCTCTTGTGACATTGTGCTCCTCAAATATGTCTTTATTAATTTAAGTTTTGAGAAAGATCTCTCAGCACTGGCAACAGTCACGGGTATAGTTAAAAACAATTTCAGTGCTATGGCAACATCGGGGATACTTGGCAAAATGGACTGATCTTCAATGAGCAGGGTTTGTGCAAGGTCTTTGATTGTTCCACGCACAATTTTCTTTATAGTAGGCCTAAGAGCATTACGGAGGGACAGGATCTGGAAAGGAAACTCGGCTGACAGGTCGTCTTTATACTGGCCTGATAAAGCACTTGCGGACTCAGACAGATCCTTGTCTGTTGCGCGCAAAAGTTCGCGGGGAAGCAGAAAAGAAAATCGCTGTGCAACTTCGCTCATTCCAACAAATCGATTTTTGAGTTGGGCAACGACAATATCGATATTTGCGTAAAATACCGCCACTCTAAAATGCTCCCCTGGGTCTTGGAGCCGCTGGTCCTCGCAAAGCTCTGAAAAGTGCCTCTTTGTGCGCCTTGCGCGTCTGTCTTTGAAGAGACTGTGGACACCCCATGAGGATGCCAGGTCTTGCGCTTGCGCTTTTAAGCCATCAAACTCTCCTCGGAGTTGGGCAAGTGTATCGGTTGCGTTACCAAGCATTGCTGTCGCCTGTAAGAGGTCCACGTCTTTGCGCTGGAGAGCTTGGGACACAATGTTGACTGTTTCAAGGACCTTGCCCTGTATTACAGTCATTAAAACAAACTCAAAGCTCTCCATGGCCTTTTTCAAGCCAGTCGCCTCGGCACGTTCCTCGCTTTTTTTGGAGAGCAAGTCTATCTTAGTTAGCGCTTGCATAATGTCAGCATAACGGAACCGCAATGATTGGACGGCGTCTTGTCTTGATGCCCATCGTGTCGGGCATAGTCTCTTCAGTGTAGGCTGGCCAGCCTTGGGCACTGAGAGGTGTGTTTCCAAAAGCTCCCATCGTTTGACGCTTCCACTAAAGAATACATATAGCCTTTCAACAGTGTCGTAGAAGTCTTTTATCTCAGGTATATTTTGGCAAGCGTCATTGAGTACAAGGTTTAAATTGTGCGCAGCACAATGAATGTACACTGCGTTGGGCTCTTTATCCCTTATGCGTTTTTGTACACCGGAGTAGACACCACTCATATTGCTAGCCCCGTCATATCCCTGTCCGCGGCACTTCCCAAGTAGTATCCCCTTTCTCTCCATCGATTCGAGAATTTCTCTCTCTATACCTGCAGCAGTTTGGTCTGTGACTGCATGGAAGCCCAAAAAACTTTCGTTTATTTTCACCTCTGTAGGGTTTCCATTTTCATCATTTGCTATAGTAACATATCTGAACACTTGACTCAGTTGGTCTACTTTTGAAATGTCCTGGGTAGTATCCATTATAATCGAATAGAATTCTGCATTCTGTATGTCTGTAATGATTGTGTCCTGCACTTTTTTCGATAACAATGAAATTATTTCGTTTTGAGTTTGAGGACTTAGGTAGTGCACCTTCTTTTTGCTTTCAATAAGCCTTTGCAGAACTGGATCATAACGCGCCATAAGTTCTATGGTAGATAAGAAATTACCATTATCTATATCACCTATTTTCTCTCTGTGACCCCGGAAAGCAGAGTTGCGAGAGGCCAGTGTTAGTGCAACATCAGTTATTCTGGTTAGGACCTCGGTCCAAAACCCCACCTCTCTCTTAAACTCAGATGATATTTGCGCGTCAATGGTCATATTATTTTTCCACGTATCATACACGACACATGCTGCCAAATGAGAGCGAGAGAATTCGTGTTCCTTAATCTTTTTAGAGAGACCCTGCCAATCATTTATTCCTATTCTTCACGCTTGGTGGAGGTGATGGGCAGACGGTCTGTCACCGAACAGCCAGCACTGCTCACAGTACACCCGGTCCATAGATGGCGAGTAACATATCCACTTGCGCGGAATTCTACATCCAATTTTAGATGTTTTGTTATAGAACTCTTTTGAAAAGCACCTTCCCCATCCCTTTTGAATGGCCCTTCAGGCTTGCATGGCCCGTTATTCAGAATGTACCGTTTAACATCATCGTCTTCTAAATCTACAGGGAATTTCCCCCTATCAGTAGGGTATTCAGTCATAGAGTTTTCGCTGGCCAACGTGTCCCTAGGGTGGGTGGGAGCTGTTGTCACTGTCGGGGCACTGCTAGCTGGCTGGGCAACCTTGGCTATGTCTGAACTGGCCTCGGAGGGGGCACAGCTGACTTCTTGCTGACCTGCAAAAATGAACGGATTAGATTCCAATTCCAATGTAACCTGTAGCATACTCTTACTGGTTATGGCGAATAAAACTTTCTATTATTCTAATGTCTAACCTGTTTCGAAGCGCGAGGCACGACTAGCTGGCTCGGCTGTAACGGGGCTGCTGGGCTGTCTGCCTGGACTCGGAGCTGACGGCCGGGGGCCGGGGGAGGTTGCTAGCGGTCTATCTGCAGTAACATTAGAGTCTACGTCTACCTTTGCTGCCTGCCGGAACAATGACGTTATTTTAGGTAGTTTTGCCCTCTCCTGTTCGGCTTTCGCTCTCATTTTGCTTTTCTGAGCACCGCTTGGGTAGTGGCGCTTCATTTTTCATGTTTACCGGCAACGCAACTAATGAACGTTGTTTATATGAGCAATGCTTCCCGCTTTGTTTTGAACGCTGCCCAGCCT